ATCCGCATCAATTCGTGATGCCGCGGCAGCATTTTGTAAAGACTCCCCTCCCCCCCGTAAATAAGAATCATGTCCACAAGTTCAGCATTTCCGTAAACATGTGCCATTTTTTATTTCGTTTGAGCCACGCAACAAACACCACTATTCACTCACGCGTTACCGACTGACACATTGACTGAATACAACTGAATAAAATTGTAGTAAAAACATCGTGATAAGCGTTTCAAATTCTTTCGCTTTTTTGTTTCCGATGCGATGAACCGATAAGGCGGATTATATCCGTTGTTGCCAAACACGAGCACATAATATTATTATTGAGACAGGGCGGTACTCAAACTTCTAAAGGGCTATAACTTTGTTACTTTAATTTTACCAGAAAAATGTTAAAGGAAAAAACATTTCTTTTGCTCAGATCTACTCACTGTTAAAATAAATGACTCACTTTCGAAGTCACCCTGTATAAAAGACAAAAAGGGAGCTAAGTGAAAATCAGGCGTTTTTCATAAATGCCTGATATGGATTGCAACAAATATCATATCTTCTCAGGTTTTTACTTCCCACCTCTGCCGGCGGGGAAGTATTGTAATCGCGAAATTTTTCCAAAGTGAGATATTGTTTTTTGGAAGTTATATGACATGTACATCACAAAAAACAATATCACTCATTTTCGTCGGTATGTCGGTCTGTCCGCCTATAACTTGAGAAGTGAGACTCTGATTTTGATGAAATTTAGACACAATGTTACTACTATGCCAAGAACAAAGTAGCTTTGTAGTTTTCGAAGATTTAGTGCCGGTGGAGAAGAAGGCCACAAACGGAAAAAAATAAAACCTTGTTTTCTGACGTTTCAGAGGATTCTGGTCATTTTTAAAAAAGAATTAGTGGCAAAATAACGTGAGAGTGGGGATTTAGGGAGTGGGGAAGGTTTATCTGAATGTTTTTATGTTAATACACTTATACGCTGCCAACCTTGGTAATTCTACGCACCTATTATACATACTTCACATATCATATATTTCTACGTACATTAGCCCTAAAAACTAAAATATTCTCAGCAGACGGATCGCGTGCCTAACGACCGCGGCTGTTGCACCCGGCCTTGCTCAGTGGTCTGTTGATTTAGCATGGTATTTACACATATTTTTACGAATTGATTCCTATGCTGCGACCGCGTTGCCACGTCTAACCTAGTTAAGCATCGGAAAGAGAGGACCTTTTCAAATACTCTACAGGAAGGGCATTGAAAGAATGTCTATGGACGAATTGTATTGATCTGTTTGACCGACTTTTTTCTTAGAGGCTGTAGTTTGTGTCAAACGTAATCCTTTATGAACTGATAACGGCGTTGCGTGCAGAATCAACCTACTCGAGCCCATTTTTTACTAAGCAGTGGTCAAAGAGACCGTCAACATAAGCCGGTAACTTTACACTATGGTAGCATTTTTCAAAACCGGTTTAGTTACAAACTGGGCACGTCAATGCTCACTAGAGTATCCAGATAAATCGTAATCGGCTTATAACTGTCAGTTGTAACGCACATCCATACAACACGTGTGAATTTTAAATAGGGTTTTTTATCGTGCAATGTGGAGATAACATTTCGAATTGGTTACCTATGGAATACTTACTATACAGGGTCATTCATTGTAGTGAGACCGTATGATTAATATAAAACTGTATACGTATAACCTGATTTGTCGGACCCCTTTGAACTACTCAGCGCATGTTTTGGTATTTTTTGTGAACACGTAGAGCAGGTACATAATCCAAACAAAGCATGCTATGCCATGTTATAATTGAAATACTCCCTAAAAGAATACCCAATGTAAACTAGGCACTGCCTTATAGTATTATGAACTATGTTAAATAAAATCGTGCCAACTTGAAAGAGTATTGAATGTTTATGTACACGTTTCAATATGTTCAAGTTATATTAAAAAACACAAAAGCTTATTTTCAAACATTAATGCTTCTCACAAATGTATCACCACGAATCAAAATTTAAAAGTACATCAACATACCTCAAAAAAATCACCGTACTGACCACACCACCTTGTACATTAATTGACGAGTAAATATACAAGTGACTATAGATTATTTGAGAAAGAAGCTAAGCAATTATTATTAGCCAAATAATTTACTAACATTTCTGAATATACGCAATGTTCAAATATGTAATTTAACATTACATATATATCGCCTTATACTTAAGTTAGTTATAATTATTTTATATGTTTTTTAGTGTTTTTACTGCTTGTACAAGTTGAAGCGAAGTAATCCAGTCAAAAAGTCAGAGGTGATTTTTGAACACTAAAGTACATATATCGTTACGAAAACACCATTTTTACTAATTAAAGTCTAATTTATTTCTTTTACACTAATTTATAAGAAATTTATATATTGCGGTTCTGATCGACCTATTTATTTCAAATCGTGGGCCGTCATCGCTGGCTAGATGACGTTCGATGATTCTGGATGTCGGTAGAGGCTTCCCGATGGTTGTCGAACTCTCACGAACGGCAAGGCGCTCCATAGTTGCGTAATTTTGGTTGCCTAAGCGTCGATGTTGCGAGGGCGTCTCATGGTACCGCAAAGGTCTAATTTGCGAGGTGCTGCTATATACATATAGTTTTGCTAAACATATTCCTAAGAGTCATAAAACGGCTACATATACCATAGTTGTAGTTAAGTCCAAATTAGTCTAAACTAAATAGAGGACGATATTCATTGATAAAAAAATTAATATGCCGATGGCTTAAAACACATTTTTATACAATTTCCTGGAAAAACGATCCAGGAAATGGATCGGTATAAGAGCTTGGCAAAAATATAATTTCAATTTAAATCTAATCATTGGACGCAGGAAGGCATAAGAAGAGCTAGAAACAGTTTATATGAAAATAATCTACGAATCGCTTATGAAATTAAGACAGTCATTTGGAGCTTCCTTAGCACTACGTTTTGAAATAGGGTGATGCACGTCTGATAAGGCAAACTTGATTATGCAAGGCGTCAATGAAAAAGAAATATAGGTAACTAATATCGAGCGGCTAGCAAATGGTGGTGTTGTGCGTAGTGTGTACTTTCAGAACGATGTCGACGGATGCTCTACTGGTGGTGGCTGGTTTCCCGCTAATTGATTTGCCGGCTGATAGATGCACGCTCCATAAAAAGGACGCCAAAACTAACTGCTAGAATGCAGAACGATTCAATTGGACATTTTGCATGGACTAAAAGACGGCGGATACTGCACAGTTCCTTACAGTACATGATGCTTTGACAGCTACCTGAAAGGTAGGAAGAATCGAGTTGCTATATTGTAACGAACGAGGATATCCTGATATACTCGGAGAAATGACTGAGGTGACTCCAAAGCGGTGAGTTGGAGAGATCAGGGTAAATCTGACATCACTATTGAGATGCAACACCTGTTGAAGACTTAACGCAACGCTGACGAATGGTGCAGAATTACCGTGTGAGATGTTACAAAGCCTCACTTCGTGTACGAAGCTCAGAAAACTCACACTTTGAAGCAACATGTTGAGCTTTCTGTTAGAAAAAGCTCTTGCCGTCCATAAATCAGTAATTTCGAAAAGAGCTTTCCATGTTAATTGATCAGCATCTTTTTATTAGCGACAAACACCCAATAACTCCTTATGCCAGTATAAACCATATGCATATGGAATGTGTGCCAATATGGGCCATCAGAACTATACAAAAGTAGTTAAATGTAATTATGTGACTTCAACACAGTTCATTCCACCTTAAGGTCCCAGCACCTGCTGTAAAATTCAATTTTTCACGTTGTGTTAGTTTTAAGGCAACGGTGTAACTGTGGTTTGGAGAAAAGGTGGACTAAAGAGAAAAGTACTAGAAAAGAATCGGAAGTAACATTTGTCTTATTCAATATTGTACATGATCTTAGGAAACTTTTGTTGAAAAACATAATTACACATACTAAGGACCAGGAATTTTGGACAACGGCGCGTAGTAACTGATGATATAAATAAAAACGTATTAAAGTTCTCCAAAATATTGTTTGCATTATAAAAATTTTAAAGTTTATATGATATAAATTTATCATTATCATCATCTGTTGATGGCTGTAAAGGGAAACAAATAGAGAAACAGATTCTAAGTGTTAAGAAAAACATCAAAACTTAACATAACGTGAGCACCATTTTAATAAATAGAATATAACTCTATCCACGACTGGCCGATAAATCCTTTTTTACAGATAAGTCTTGAGAATCACTTATCAGCCAACGAACTTCTTAATGCTCTATTTAAATTCGCCTATGCTGGTGTACCATGAGAACTGTTGGAATTTATTTGTTAGGAAATGACAAAAGCAATTGGCAGCATGGTGATTTAGTATGATTGTTTTACCTATTTTTATGTCCACATAAGGTAGCTCTGAGCTTTCTATTTACTATATTCAAATTGTATGTATTTCGGGAGTAATGAGACACATAAGTAACTATACTGAACTGAAAACAAAAGAGCATTGACATTTCAAGTTGACCATAAGGTTACTCGATTTCAAAGTGATGTTGAAAACAACGATTTCATGCCAAGTAAGCTCTTATTTAAACATTTTTCAGAGATGATGGACGACCTCCAGACAGAAAAAGCGCAAATATATTTCCGCTGCCTGAAAAACCGATATTCAGTTGATTGAAGCAACATTGAAAAACATGATATTTCCATACCTGTATAATGGACTCAGTGTATTTGAGTAATTACTGCAGCGTTTTCATTATAAACAATACCACATCATTTTTTTGGGTGCTTTATGTTCTCACTTGCTCACTTAGTAGTTGCAACACCAGTATAATGCTGGGTTTAGCGTCAACAGATCATTATCCAGTCATATCATAATCGGTTTTTTACTAGGTTTTATTGTAAATTCTGAATCACCTGAATATTTAACTGGCTGTTAAATAGAACCACAGATGTAAATGTCAAAAAAGGCAATGACAATATATTTTTTCTACCAGCGTGCGGAAAGTACTCACTTTCAACACGCATCTGCGTGCGGAAAGTAGCAGTTTTCCTCACGCTGCACTGGTAGAAAAAATCTTATTCCTAACACTTGCAGAAAGTGCATTTTCCGCCGTTGACGGCTTGCCCAAAACGCATCACTTTCCGCAGTTGTTAGGTAAATAACTATTTTGATATAAGTAAAAACAGTAGAACATGGAGTTAAATGAGCAACGCAACAAGATAAGTCTTATGAGTCACGTATATCCTGAAGTTACACACGTCCTTTTTGTTGCGCTTTCTGACGTGTGTGCGATTTAACTAGGATTTTGTTTTTGTTACAGAGTAAAGCTTGCATAGCCAATGCCAGGCAGATAAGCTCGACAGTAATGTGAGATCCTCCAGAACGCGGTATACCCACTAAAGTCCCTCAGTCGTTCACTACAACATCCCACCATGGTAGTATTACTACATCACATATGTTTATGTAAAAACCATCAAAAAGAAATCTATTTCGGGTTCCTTGGTCTATTTTCATCATGCTGTAACCTTGCTCAGCATCACCCGCCTGGCAAAGTTGTCCCCAATGAGCATATCGCCGAGCGTTGATTGCAGCTGTCTCTGGTAGTCTACTCGTCTACCATATTCCAGTAGATGATCAGGAATATCCTCTTTGTTGATCCAATATACGCAGCTCGCGCTCTCTCTCTCTCTCTTTCCTAGCTTATTAGGTAGCTGTCAAAGCAACCATGTCCTGTGAGAACCAGTGCAGTATAGTCATCTAACCGCATCACTCCCTTGCCAATCCAGGTTCTAATATCCGGAATCAGTCCATGTATCCTCAGACCTTTACAAAATCGCATGTCCTTCCATATATTTCCAACAAGGATGAGTTGACATACAGGTAGAATAAAAGAGCAATGTGTAAGACCTTTTAACTTGAAAAGTCCACCGTGGTTTCGCAGTATGGTACGGATTACAGAGGTATTGTTTTAAACAATATTTCAATGACTCGATTTCACTCGATGTCTGTAAATCAAGTGATGAGACTGGCAACGTAGCGTTTTATCTGGCAACACTGGAGGCGCCGGACTTAGAAGGGAGACAGGGGAACATGTAATCCGCCTTCAGTACAAGTTTGAACTAGTCCGTAGCGATTTTTTTTGCGAAACAGTTTCTCCAATTGTGTTCCAAAAATGAGTGACAACAATTTCGAGCAACAGTGCGCTATCAGGTTTTGCTTCAGTCTTGGGCACAGTACAGCTGCTGAGTTTCCGCAGCTGAGGTTTTTCGGTAGTTTGAGGCAGAATCCGGGATCTTGTGCGTTAAGAATGATCGGGGAAAAGTTAAGTTTCACTCACACCACCGTTCATCAGATCAAGAACAACTGGGCCAGTAAAAACATTCCTGTGTCTTCTTAGCCTACTTATTCGCGTGACTTGAGTACTTGTGACTTTTTTCTCTTCCCGAAGTTGAAGAATCACCTTAATGGAACTCATTTTGGGACATTCAAACGGCTGAAGGCTATTCTAGTATCGGAGTACCAGAACTGCTATGAAGAGTGGAAGGTTCGTCTCCAGCGCTATGTGGCTTCAGAAGGAAGTTATTTTATTGAGAGTGACAATTTTAATTAATTTTTGTAAGAAGAGGTAGAGTGGTATGGACTAACAATATTTTTGTCGTAATTGATGTTCTTGAGCCAAATATGATACCAAAATCTTTTAGTTTACTCCATTTCTAAATAAATTCGTACAAATAGTCCCACCGATTTGGTAACACATTCTAATTGATAAAGAAAATAGGTTTCTCCCACTTACACTAACAAGCGTCTTCAAGATTAAAAAATCTGAAAATACATCACATTGCTGAGTTTAGTTTAGAGTCATCTAATTTTGTCTAACTAATGATATCCATATAATGGAACAATTTCCTCTACATTTTTTGTTGAAAAATTTTTCTGGAACGTGCTTTATAAGATCGTCCCAATATTCTAAAAATCCATTAAGCTTTTTTCTTTACCCCTTAACGACCCAAGCAAAAATATCTACATGTTCTTACGTGACTATTCTAATATTATATCCAGCGCAATCAACTATTTTACTGGTCGAAAATAGAGCTACGACAATCGAACTACTCATAAAAAATCATCATTGACTGGACTGTAGAAGGGATGGGGTATTTTTCTACGGACAACCTGGGTTATTTTTTTTACGGTCAAGAAGGGAGCCATCTTAAGTGATTTATAATTTGATTTGCGCAAACTATATCACAAGGCAAGGTATAACTCCCGTAATTCCGGGAAACTCCTTGACAAGCCTCAAAGAAGGTTTCCATTAAATGTCCGTATTTTTTTACGATTATTTTATACACCATTTAATTTCGTTTTCAAGATAAAACGTTTATTATAAAGATTGTCAGGATAACGATGAACCGGGTTCCTTCCAACTACGCGCGTATCCAATTGCTGTGAAAATTGCATTTTAGAAACGCTATGATATTATGATCGAGAAAATATTCAGACAAGCTCTTATTAATGTTTTATAATAGCACAATATGTTTATTCATTTCTGCAGCTGCTGTTTGATAGTTTATCTATCTGTCAAGGTATTTCTGAACGAGAATTCTCAGAATCCACCGCTCTAAATTTAAAGAAATTTAGGAAGCACTTTATTTTAGTTAGTATAGTACCGTTGGAGTTATAAACGAAATGAAAATAATTGGAATATTACCATATTTAAGTGCATATTCTCCACTATATGATATTGTTGTGGACATGCATGTTTCGACCCAGACTACGTCTCATCAGCAGAACTGAACCAGCCGTAAGTGAAGGTCGAAGGTTTTTTCAGAAGGGTAAAGCTTTTATAGGCACTCTCAGGCTGAAAAGAGAGATTCTCCAGAAATGCGGCATACCCACTAAAACTCCTGAGTCGTTCGCTACACCTCCCACATGGTAGACAAAACTTCGCCACTTTTGACCTAACAGACAATAGTCTAATCATATTAGCAAATTTTCCCGAAATAATTGTTAAGTCTGGTTCTATTGGTGCAAGTTGTTCAAGAGGGTATTTAAAACATGGACGCATAAAATGGGTACACCAACTTTAGTGGGAAAACTTTTTATTTGACAACAAAGAATGAGAAAACGTGTTTTTTGGAAATCAATCAAAATTGTTGGCAGGAACGAAAAAACTGTTAATATAAGATTTTTGGATATTTATGATACCTTCAAAATGAGACCACACGTAAAAAGATCCGACTAATAGCAAAAATGTTATGGCCGAAAAACGAGGCAAAATGCAGTTTTTGGCACTTGTTGGTAATGCGACGACAATTTCACGCAACTGCTTGAAATTCTTCATCATTCATACTTCTAAATAACAACAACAAAATAGGAGTATATTGGTCATGTAGTTTTTTGAGAATTTCTAATTGTTTATCCCGAAACACCTGTTTTCCGGCCATCTCTACTAGTTTATTGAGCAATATACAGGGTTCGTTCAAAGAGCATTTAATAGCTAAATACACGTGTTTACCTTGCCGATATGAATCACAAACCACTCGGGAAGATAAATGTTATTTTTATGCGAAAAACAAAGGTTACGTTTTTTTCTTCTGAACAAATTCAAACATTTCGTATTTGTGAGTAATTGAACAAATGCGCTACGACATTCGAAAAACATACGTTACTGTACACATTTTAAAACAAAGCGGAAGTGTCTATCATCTGTTGTTGGGAATTACTCAAAAATACGGAATTTTTGAATTGGTTTAGAAGAAGAAACGTAGCTCATCCTTTTTTGCATACAAATAACATTTATCTTCCGCAATGGTTTGCGGCAAGATAATCTAGTTTATGTTGCTATAAAATGTCCTTCGATATTGCTCAATATACTAGTAGTTATGGCCGGAAAACAAGTGCGAAAACCTGCGGTTTGTCACGGTTTTAGGCTATAACTTGTTTTGCCATTAGTTGGATCTTTTTACGTGTGGGCTCGTTTTGTAGGTCTCATAAATACCTAAAATTCTTATATGAGGTGTCTTTTCGGATGTTGTCAACACTTTCGATTTAATCATCCCAAAAAACACGTTTTCTCATTCTTTGTTGTCAAATAAAAAGTTTTGCAGCAAAAAAAAACAGGCTTCACAATTATTTCGCAAACCAAGGGTATTTTCGTCTAATATGATAGACTACAAAGTTGAAAATCGCTTTGAAATAAACTAAACTCAAAAAACCGTTTGAGATCTTGTCACGCAAGATTTGAACTTCAATTGATGACTCCAAACATTATAATTTTCAACCGAGTTTTTTAGCATTGATCATGAGTATTCTTAGATAAGTTTATTATACTGTACATACATAACCTGGCAAGCAGAGAAACCTGGTTTCTTGGACTACTTTTGTCCACCTACATCATGCAACATTCTGCATTATTTTCTTCACTATTGGTCGAATATTAACCCATTTTCGTTCACTAACATGCCTTGCAAAATTGTCAGCAGCCTCTCACCGAGCATCAATTCCAGCTGTCGCCCTCTCTCCCTTGTCAATCCAAGTTTTTATATCTGGTATCTGCCCTCTAGTCGATACACCATAGCCAGTTGCATCCCACCTCTTCTGAAATCTCGTAAAAATTGCCTCACTTTCGTCGCATCTAGTTTCGGCGTCCTTTTTATAGAGTGCGTCTCTCCTAAGGCAACTTTCAATATGGCGAGCGCCAATGCAAACTTGGGAATTAACAGAAAAATTCCCCGAGATTCCTTTGTAATCTTAATCGGTCTGAAGAATCGAGACCGTAAAGCCTTTTTTAGGTTCTTACACTACTTTAAGGTCTAAGAATAAATGACTGCTTAATAAAAATATAAGTTCTTGAAAATACCCAAAAAAGCTGTAACCGTACTTGATTCATATTTGTTTTTATTGATATCTTTTGTAGTAAGGATGGTTATTATTGTGACGAATAAGTGTCACTCCTTACTACTGTCTTAGAGACTGATTCATTACAAAAAGTGTTGTTTTCTTTGCTGAAACAACCTAAATACGCGGGTACCGCGTCTTCTATGAGGAGATTAAAGACGCTTTGTAAATATTGCAACCTTAAGGTTTCTTACCATTTTTTATAATATTTAAGATAAAAAAAACAAGTCATAGCAGTTGTCCACGAAGAGAGGCTATAT